TTGCTTTCGATGATTCTGTCCTTCGTATCAAGAAGTCGGAGCGCTGACTGGCCACCCAATGGGGAAAGAAACCATACGATAGTCAATAACATTCCTAGTATAGACCAGGCTCTTAAACTAGCTTGCCGTTCCAGTGCCGAAAATAGTGAGTGACAACCAACGAGTTGTTCTAGGCGACCGAGGGTAATCCCACGTTCGGCCCAGTAAAGTCCAATGTGTTTGAAGCATCGCCCCATCTTCAAGTAGTGGATTAGCATAGTTTCAATATTTGTAGCTCGTTCGACGTAGTACTCACTAGCGCTGCAAATATGACAGGAAAAATGGTAGGTGAAAGGAGAAGTATCTTTTGGAGATGCCGACCATACTCCCCTGTTTCTCGCGTGTTAAGCCGTGCAGCCATTATTGCCAGCGCTGTAGTAGGTAAGTCGCGAGCTAGGTTTTACGACTCAGCGTTTGCGTACCGATAAACATAATGGGCGTGGACGCCAATAAAACATCAAAGAAGAATATGTAGGCTCTTAGTGGCGTCAATGCCCATACTCGCTGCGATCTCGTGGGCCATTGTCGGGCAGGGGTTTGATTGGTTTCGAAAGTTTTGTCGTCAGCCTTTGGTATGTGCTGAGGCTCATAAGTAGAGTGATTTGGGTAATGATTTAACTCGACATAATTGGAGGACGTGTTTCGGAGATGTAGATTTCTCGGCTTGAAAGATGCAAAGCTCATTGTGGTAACTCGAGACAGCAACTCGTCCACGTGTTCTTGTTGCCTGTTGAGGGCCTCAAACTGCAGCAGAGTGCGTACAAATATTGCGTCCACGAATTGACAGTAATAGGAAGATGACTAGTACGGGGTATGAAGTCAAGGGGAAGCTAGATCAATGGGAGAAGAGGGTAGATTTGAATGTGGTCTCATTCATTTGAGCTAGGCGATCGGCGTCACAAGGCTGGGAGTACCCCAGTGAGATTTGGCTGCTGGCAGGTGGGACGTAACGCATGTAAGATTTTTTTCTTGAAGACAACAACCCATACATCGATTCAGCGTCGACCATTAAACCTCGGTAGTCTACCGAACAAAAAGACGATCAGGCACACCTTTTCTTGGGGATGTTGGAGGTGTGTTTTCAGCCTCATATCTGTGAAATTAGGGGTGAACCGATTCGAGATTGTACGTGCGCTATTCCCAATAAGGCACAGTGTGACATGAAATTGTTTTCGTGAGCTCTCCTGTCAGCTTTTACCAATATTTGTCCGTCACCAGTCTTAAATTCTTGTCATTGAATTCTGTAACGCCTCGGTACTCCACCCGCGTCCGCACTCGAAGTGTAGCCTCTCTGAGTCCAGTTTTTGGATTGTGACCCTGGTGCTCGAATTGTTCTCTTTTAAGTAGACATCCTTGGAGCGCCCATTTAGGCACACTTTCTTCAAATTGGACCCCCTTCTCAGTCTTCATCATCTCTAGTAACTGGTTGTAGTGTTTCTTGTGCATTTCTTGAGTCGAATATAAGGTCCTGGCGAATGCTGTTATCGCATTTCGCACCGCATCGCCTCTACATCGCCAGAGCAGAACATTCAAAGCTTCTTCAACTGAAGGAACCGCATACCATCGAGCATCAAAATGCGCGAACGTTATATCTTCAAAAGTTGACTCTTCCACTTTCGGTTCTGGTGTTTCGGCGAGGAAATTTCGAAGATGTCCTCCAAATCGGACTGAACAATAACTAGATGCTAGGCTTGCTAGCTTTTGAACCCTGTCATTAAACGACTGGACACCGTTTGGGAAGACTAAGGTAATCTCGTCTGACTGCGTGTATGCAACGGTGGCGGAAGGAAAGTATTTGAGGAGATCAGAAGATGTTGCCACCATAGCATTGTGAATGCGCTGATCGAATGGACGATCGAAATGTTTCGTGAAGCGCGAGAATCGGTGGCCATCAAGTCGTAGAATGACCGGCGAGTTTGCGGGCAAAGTATATTCGAATGGTGCCTCGTATGTTTTCATCCGGTCGGCAAGAGTATCAGCTTGTGGTGTGGAGACACCTTCTTTGCCTTTTGACGACATTTCCAATCGTGTTTGAAATCTTAGACGGCGTTTGATGTTGGAATGTTGTGACGCGAGCACCTCAAGAGTCGAGTCACCCGCCCCACGCTTAGGAGCGGAGGAAAGACCTCTCCGGCATGAGTCACCTAAGAAGTTTGTCCATAATCTAGGAATAAGTCTACTTGATCTGAGTATCCCCTGCATGTAGAGGGAAGTTCGGTTGTGAATGTTTGACTGGGGATAATGAGACCCTTGGGACGGACCATCCCGCTAATATTAGATAATATATACTCTGCTTAGATCCAAACTCTTGTGGGGCTTCAAAGACTGGATAGCAGTACCTTCAGCACAACACATTTTTGGGGAAATCATTAGTATTAATATTACATACAACTTTGTAGTTTTTTAAGGCTTCGTAAAAGCTAGTTTAAGGGATTTATGATATAGCAAAGCCTTATACTTATCCTTTAATCTTTGTTCTAAGAAAGTATGTGCTGGTGAATTTTCAGACTTCAAAGCCTTGCGAGAGCCAAACTCTGGTCCCCGACACAGATCCCATTCATCATCCCTTCTCTATATGTTTGTCTACGTGGAACATCCCCAAGGACGATCCTTCATCGTGCCACGTATATGTCCCAGACCTATCTTTGCAAAATCTATGCTACCACAGCATTCGCTTGTTGTTCGCGTCTGGCTTCATCACTATCTCCCACTTTGTTGGCATTTTTATGGTTATTGTGAAGCACCGTCTTGATTTCTCCGAGGAAACGGTCGACCTCTTTCTCTGTGCCCACTGTAATTCTCAAACAACCAAGGCATCCATGCTCTTTTCCTCGAAACCGGACTACAACACCCCTGTCCTCAGCCAGACTCTCATATACGCTCAGTGCCGTTTCATTTGATGGTTTTCCACCTTGATCTGCCGGTGCATCAAGCATCTCTACGAGTAAAAAGTTTGACTCAGTGCCCCCAAGAAACTTTCCAATGCCTGGAACTTTTGGTAACTCTCTCAATAGCCTGTCCCTCTGTCCCAAAATCAGGTCCTTGTTTTTTCGCATAACCTCGATATGTTTTGCGCTGAGTGCCGCTCTGGCAAGTTGACTCGTTGGGTTTGGAATGTTGTATGGTGCCTTCAATGAATTCAAAATCTGTGCAATCGCAGGATCGGTAAATGCTGCGCCGAGGCGAATACCAGCGAGACCAAAAGCCTTAGAGAGGGTCTGCATGACAACCAGGTTTGGCCATTCTGCCACCCACTCCGCTAGACTAGAGCCTTCGGGCGCGAAGTCAATGTATGCCTCATCGAGTACAACCACACCATTCCAGCTATCATGCTCTAGAATCTTTTGGATATCTTCCTTCTTAAGTAATGCGCCAGTCGGATTTCCTGGTGAGCACAAATATGCCAACTTTATGTTCGAGTCGGCTGCGAGGGCGGAGGTGATGGCGGGCACATCAAGCTGGAAGCCGTTTGTGAGGAGTGGGACCTTCACTAAGGAGACATCATTGACTTGTGCCGAGACACTGTACATGCCGTATGTGGGAGGACATGTCAAGATTTTGTCTTTGCCTGGCACGCAGAAGGCGCGAAGGAGGGCATCGATCGCTTCGTCGGAGCCGACTCCAACAAAAAGATGCTCTGGGGTGATGGTCTTGGGGGTGTGGACGTGGGTGTTGCGAATATTGCAGAGGTCTTGTTTCAGCTCCAATTGATGGCTGAGTAGTAGAGTCTGTTAGCTTTCGGTGCAAGTACTCTAGAAATGACGCGGAAAGACGTACGGATCTGGGTATCTGTTCAATCCAAGGAGATCAACGTCTATAGCAGACGCGGCACCTTTGTTTCCATTTGTTCCTGTCCCAAGCAGCTTTCCATCTATATCCAGTGCAAGACCGGGCCCATATGCGTTCTCGTTTGCGTCGAGGAGAATATTTGTGCCGTCATCCTTGTAATCACTATCTACTATTAGCTACCTCGCATGCGATCGCGTCTACTTGATCTTGCGATTGAGGACAACTCACTCTCGCGCGCACCGGTAAGGCTCCAGCGCTAGAATGTTTGGCCGTGCGCATTTAGAGAGATCGAAAGGTGAATGCTTTGGCGACATTCTGGAAGAAGATGTTCGTGTTTGAGTTTCGTGAGTCTACGTGATGAAAGCGGCGGGGAACTTTTGTACGCGGCGCGCTGCGGGGCACCAACGCAAGGAGTCACCGATATAGGCCCTTATTACCTAGGCAGACTGTAGATATGGGGAAGAAAATTTATTGCAGGGCTTCAAAGTCTGGACATGAGTCCCTTAAATACCCAAAATAATGCTTGTATACACTAATCTGCTAATATGAAATTGAGCTCTGCAGTATCGAGGTGTGTAAGGAACTCAACAGTGCTAGTAGTCTCAAATCCTATCCTTTTGTCTGTCTTCAGCGAAAACTTATGTTTACAAGATTCCGGATTTCGAAGCTCCGTGAGAAAGCAAATACAAAACGGAGACAGGATGACTCGAACGTTTTTTCTTTGACAATATCTGCATGAGTTGTTTTTGAAATACCGCGGGGCGTGTTTAATTTTATGAGTCAATCGCTAGGTCTTTGTTAATCCGAGCTATATCTTTGGCCGACCTCGGAAGGGAAGTTCAGAAACTCGAAACGCGAGCAACGCTTCTTTCGTGAGTGAAAGCAACTGAAATAATGGCATAGGTCAGTCCACTTTGTTACAGGATGAAGCGTTTCTCATTGTAATAAAAGCTATTGAGGTCGAATGGGTCAAGGCTCCACTTTCGTACGGGGCATAGCTATCATTGTAACCCCACTTAGTATTCCATTCAACTCTTGCATGTCAATGGAATCTCAGAAGCGTCATTGATGGGGCGGTCAAGATGAAGAATTCTTGTTTTTGCAATATTATTATAGTATAGAATATTACTAAGATTAAAAATCTTCATCAATCAAGCATCAGCAAGATTCAATCCGATATGGTCTAGTGGCTAGGATTTGCCGCTCTCATAGAGAGTCAGTTCACGACAGTGCCGGCAAGGCCCGGGTTCGATTCCCGGTGTCGGAAACCTTCTTTTTTGCATCGTAGTCGTGTCTTTTTGACTCCCTTTCGGGCTTGTTTTGTGATGAGATATCGGAAAATCTCGAATCCAAGATCCTTGTCCTAACCTCTTTAGGACGTGAGGGGCGATCATTAGCGTGGGAAGTGGGGCAACCTTACCTAAGCAGTCTCGAGAAGAGGTATTTGGCCAATTCTGTCAATTGGACAAACCTTAGTCGCCATGCACGTGTTGTCGCTACGAGTAATGGAGCGCAACGAACTTCGCATGGGAACGGGATCTTGAATGTGCGTTCACTCCAAGTCTCTCCTCCAGGCGGATTTCATAGACAACCCATTTCTAGACCTCACGAACGGTACAGGTCTGCTGCCATGAGTGGATTCAATGGCGTTCTTTTTGCTTCTTTCGTATATCCCGCTATTCCTCGGCATCCCTTAGCATCAATGACCAGATGCAAGCCCTTCCCTGGACTGGTTGAGACTGCTTCCCCAACGAAATGCAACAGTCACCACGCTCCTTTCATTCAACAGACAGCGTGAAGTGAATCCGATCCTACGACTTCACACTCCAGAGGTCAAGTTTCTTTCTCTCAGTCAGTCCCATGACAGCATCAAAACACCTTCTGGAACACATCGCCATCCCCGCTGTCAGGGTAGTCCGGCTCCGAGGGATGACATTATTCAGTTTGCCGCGATTTGCAGAGCTCTGGCTCTTTGGCCCATCGAAGCGTGCAAAGGCGACGTCCGGATCTAACCCCCACCCGAGCAGCCAAGCGCCTGCCCCGCCGACAACTGGAGCAGCAGCACCGCAGCACTGCAGCAGCTCTGCCAAAGCCCTGAGAGGTGAGCCACCACCAGCGTTCGCTCCCCGCAAAAATTAGCCCAACCCTCGCGCGACAGCAATCACTCGCATCGAACAGTTGCCCAGCTGCGCTTTAGCCGCATCAATATCTCTGCAATATCTCTGATTCGGCGCGGACGTCGGCCCGTCTCTCTGTCCTTGCACTCTATCCTGCACCGAGCCTAGAAATCAACTGTTGCTAAGCCGTTTGTGCCTCGCTGCCTACCTCGAACCTTTCCGCTTCCTGGACCACACCGCGGACGCGTACCTAGGTCGGCCCAGGACGGCACCTGCAGCCTTTATAGTCGAGCAGTGAGGGGCAAGAGGCCGCATCTTGGTGTCCGAAGTCCCCAGTACGAAGGCTGTCACACGAGTCGGAGGCGTTCAGCATGTCCATAAAGTCAGTATATTCCAAGCCCTTTCCCCCAACCAGCGTATGTTGTGTCGTCCGCGCCGTCTGTGTCCCGCTGTCCACCTTCTTTGCGTTCTGTTACCCCGCGACGCACTGCTGTAGCTTAGGCGTGTCGATCGCAGGGTGGGAGCTGCAGCAGGGCCTGCTGGGGGTCCAGATACGCCATGCGGAGCAATTTCAAGACCTCGAAGAGCATGAAGAGCAACTCTAACGGGAAGAGCAGCTGGGTGATGCTCTCTGAGGGCACCGGGTACACTCCTCTACCCGGCGAGCAGAGTCTCTACGTATCCCCACCACGAACAGCGTTATCGCTGCAGAGCAGCAATCGCCATCCACCAAGCCAGGCATATTCGTTGCAGTGCAAGTCTGGCGTCGTACATCTGACGAATCGAAGAGTATGTCGGTGCAGCCACTTCTCCTCTCTATCCTCTGCTCTGTCTTGGGATCCAGCACTGACTTGTAACGCTAGATAATATATCTCCCCGTCTCGCCTACCCCAGATCTCCAATCCTTCGCCGTGCCTATTCTCAATGTCCAAGACTCGCGTGTGACTGCACCATGGTTTGGCGCAAACAAATGGGAAGCTGTGATACAGCCGGTTCTTGGTGGAGGCATACCGGGAGAACATGCAGAGCTCGAGGTTACCATGGAGTTCAAAGAGGGTGGTGCCTTTGATTTCTCGTCAACTTTCGAAAGACTGCGGGAGAGACTACGGCAGGCAGTCGATGTTGCTCGTGAAAACGGTCTTGCCACAGGCGATGGCGCGGAACTAGGAGATGGAAGGGGAGGGGGAGCTCTTGCCGGTGTGAATCTTAATTCGGTACATCTGGACGATTTACCTGCATACGAGGAATCACGGCAACATACAGTGGTGGGATCGATGGAGCCGCAACCCAGTTCTCCACCTGCCAGGGCCAGCGTCGTCAGTTCACCTTCGCCGCAGAGGGGAGACAAGTCGAGCCCTCTACAGAGTCCGCAAGAAGGCACATTCCAACCACCTTCAGAGCCACCGCCCGGATACGAAGAAGTGCAAAGGGAGAGTATTGCAGATGAGCTAGAAAGAAGACTACGAGATACGGACCGTGGAGAATAATGAACAGAGATTTGGTTTTATATGGTTCAACAACATGGGCGTTTGGAAGGAAGACAAGCGTGATATCAATTTGACTCTCGGCCGTGTTAGGGTGGTGGTATTAACGGGCATCCATTTCGCGGATGGATAACTGGATGGATGGCTTCGGCCTTGATTTCTCACTGGTCGTCGGAGCCCGGCGGTGCCAGTCCTTGCTCTTGGACTAGGGCCCATTTTGGGTAACTACCCATAACAATCATAGTTTCACTTTGGACCTGACGCCGGTGCACTTTTAGCCGTTCACAAATCTCTCAGAAGGTTTACTTTCCGCAGCAATGATATTCCGTCAAATTGTAAGATGCCTTGCCAACATTGATGAAGAATGAGACGATCCGAATATTTGTGGTCACTATGAGAGCCTCTCATATGCACACCAAGGTTTGTTCAGCGACAGTACACATGACACCGGAACGCACCTGGGTACGAAAGTGGTAGTGGCATGTGATAGCTAGCTCAGCCCGCATGTGAAAACCGGGGTCTTCGCGCTAACCCTGATCAGTGATACCGAGGCAGTTTCCACGACCTTGATGACCTCAGAAACTAGAGTCCATAAGAAAGGCCAGCTTCTGTCTTCCCTCTCTTCTCTGCACTCTTTTGGTTTTTACTCCTTCCATCTACCATATTAACGGCATCTTATACACACATATACATCATGGCCAACCAAACAGGACGCAGTTCGCAAGGTATGAAGAAAGAAGTAGCACGGTTTAACTCGAACACTAACACATTCCTGAAGCGCAAGAGAGGCTCTCGCAAGTCGGTAACCATTTGAGCGGAAAGAGAGGCAGACAGGGGTTGCTAGAGAAGCATCCCGACGATGTAAGTTTCATAATTTCTGTTATTTTGGTCTTTAGAGCGTGGTGAAGTCGGACAGTCTAGACATTGTGGCGAACATCCAGAGCCGCTGCGCGATGACTAGCCAGCAGGTTTATAACAGAACCTACAGAGCTGACAGTATCTTTCCTAGGTTGTTGTAACCTGTGCTCTCCGTACACCCATCACGAAGGGCGGCAAAGGCGGTTTCAAGGACACAGCCGCAGCTGACCTCCTCCACGGCGCCTTTAAGGCACTCATCGAACGCTCCGGTATTGATCCAGCCCTCGTTGAAGACATCGCAGTCGGTGCTGTTCTCGCTCCAGGAGGTGGTGCTACAGAGTTTCGCGCAGCTGCTCTCGCAGCCGGCTTTCCTGTCACAACATCCTGCAAGTCGTTGAACAGACAATGCTCTAGCGGGCTACAGGCATGCGTAGACATTGCCAACGCTATAAAATCAGGCATGATTGAGGTTGGCATTGGTGCCGGTGCCGAAAGCATGTCTACACAATATGGTCCACAGGCAGTGACCGAATTCTCCGAATTGCTAGAAAACCATAAGGAGGCTGCTAACTGCAAAGTACCCATGGGTGTTTTGTCAGAGAATATGGCCAAGAGCAAGGGTATCTCAAGAGCAGATCAGGACAAGTTTGCCGCAGCATCATTCCAGAAGGCTGTTGAGGCACAGAAGAAGGGTCTCTTTGACGCGGAAATTGCGCCTCTCAAGGTCAAGTGGACCGACCCCAAGACGAACGAGGAGAAGGAGATCACCGTGTCAAAAGACGATGGTGTTCGCGAGGGAATCACTGCTGAAAGCTTGGGCAAGATCCGAGCCGCCTTTTCTAAAGACGGCAGCATTCACGCTGGCAACGCTTCGCAGATCTCCGACGGCGCTGCCGCCGTGTTGTTGATGAAGCGAAGCACTGCAGAGCGTCTCGGCCAGAAGATTGTGGGTAAATTTGTCCAGGCCTCTATTGTCGGTGTCCCACCTCTTCTCATGGGTGTTGGCCCTGCTGCCGCTATCCCCGTTGTGCTTGAAAAGACTGGTATCAACAAGGATGATGTTGATATCTACGAGATTAACGAGGCTTTCGCAAGCCAGTGCTTGTATTGCATCAATGAATTGGGACTTGACCAGAAAAAGGTCAACCCCAAAGGAGGAGCCATTGCATTTGGGCATCCACTTGGTGTCACAGGTGCCCGGCAAGTTAGCACCTTGTTGACAGAATTGAAGAGGACTGGAAAAAGTGTGGGTGTCACATCAATGTGCATTGGTACAGGGTAAGTCTTAATCCAAACCAGTCACGCCAATGCTTCTTACTAACTTTGATAGAATGGGAATGGCCGCAGTCTGGGTCGCAGAATAAACGTGATTACTTGTTGGATTCATAACATGTATGATTACCTCTTAGAAGTCTTGTAACATTGTCACTGTTCATAAATGCTCGTTCCTATTTTGATGTGTGAATACTTATACCTAGTTGGTGTTGACCTTAAAAATACTTAACGCCTACAGGCTTGTAGACAGAGCTTCTCGAGATCGTTGAGGTGGTGAATGCGCCTTCATTCAGAGGTACTGGTAGTCTACAGAGATTGTGATTGCCTCAGCTGTAGCCTCAAAGATGTGTGTCAAACCTACGCGCGATTCGCAAAGACCATGGCCCTATGTTCTTACGAGTGGGTAGCAATTATCTTCGCCGGCCACCCGGGTGCGTTCCAGTCAAACTCCGCTTTACGTACTGTTGCTAGAGCACATTTCAGTCGCGATTTGAGGAGACGATAGCACTGTATTCCTACAAGTGAGTGACACT